GTGTGTGTGTGTGTGTGTGTGTGTGTGTGTGCGTGTGTGCGTGCGTGTGTGCGTGTGTATGTGTGTTTTTGTATGTATGTTTGTGTCTATCCATTTATGAGATATATTTGAGCAAAAAGTAACACGAAGTCAGTCTTCGAAGATATAGTGAGATAGACGTGTCTGCTAACAGCTCAAGTCGATAAATAAACAGACTAACCAACTCCTTAACACGCGTGTCTTGGTGAGACAGTGCGATATAACAAAGGACAAAAGAATAGTGGCTTACATTTCCTGAGAAACCGCTCTTCATTAAGTACAGCAACACCATTGACACAAAGCAGCATCGCCGTCAGCAGATCCATGAGTCCGAAGGCCATGGTGCAGTAGTCTTATATCGGCTGCTGATAGATGCGTGTTACTTAAATGCTACTAAATAGTATAGAATCTCGGCTAATTTTATCTTTTGTAGTTCTATTTTTAAGAGTATTTTATACACCATGGCGGTCTGGGCTCTGGATAGTGGATAGGGTCACTACGAAATTTTCGATCCTGGAATTTCTGGTGGGAAGTTTCTGCAAACCCGAGACTCCGAGAGCGGAGAGACCCTATTATTTACGCTATATTTATTTACAAACATTCTTCTTGTGAGGACTCTCTTCCCTGTTTTCGTCATTTCGAGTGAGTATTGGGGCCCTTTAGGGGACAAAATCACAAATATCGGCTTTTTGTCCTCCTTAAAAATGGTTTGGAAATTGGATATCAAAGCTCTCATTTTGTCGCAGCCATTTCGGCATTTTACGCCCATTTCCAATAATATGGCAATAGCATAATAACGCCACTGCGCCAGTTCACCGCATTAAATAACGCCAGTTTACCACTATATTGACTCAGTAGTTACGAAGAACAATCGATCTATCATTATTCGAGTTTGATACAAGTACAAATAAAGATACGACTATGTTTCGTTATCGAGTATAAACCATCATCTCTGCGTGGGCGACTCGATTTTCATTTCGTTACATGAAGTACTTCACGCATGCTGCCTTCTTGTATTCGGCATTAGGTTCTGTCGTTGGGTAGTCTCTGGAATTCTCACGCGTCCCAATATGTGTACAGATTATATACATGGCTTCAAGAAATAAATGTATCTCCTCATAACGCGGGTATCTCTTTTTATTGCCAATAGCCATACTTCATAAGATGCAAGTAAATACTAACATATTAGGCGTGTAACTCGTCGTGTATGCGACAACTGCGATCTGTCTTCTATTTATATACGGAAGGGCATACGATACTAGGATTGTTGTTAGATGTTGGCATCGATAACATAAAGTGAACAACAATGAAATATATGTCTATAT